TCCTCGCAACATGGACGATACAAATGCACAATAGGGGTTGACAGTTCGTTTAATTTTTCTGCAGAGACGTGGTACTACAGTTTAAAAATAAAGGATTTCGAAAGAATTAACCACTCTTTATATCAAAAAATCCGTTGCAAATAGTTGTTTCGTGATATTCCATTCTTTGTGTGGCGATAGGATACCTTTGACGTGAAACTTCACCAATAAAACATGTATGACGTCCGAGCGCTGAAGTAGCATCTTAGGTGTGAAATGTGATCTTCTTTCCGCTCTTACATCGTTACATGATAACTTTTCAAAAAACCAATTACATCATCAAAATTCTCGATATTTGGCATATCTGACGACTAGTAAGACTTTAATGAAGATCCATATCAAAGCTCCAGCAGAACAAATGGGAAATTGAGTGGGAACATAATTTTATTTTCGTTGCTGCAGCTTAAAAGAATGCTCTTTTTTCTAAAATTGAAAAAGTTATCAAAATCGCAAAGATTTAATCTTTCAATTAATCACTAAATGTCTAAGAGAAAACGTTTATGCAGTGAGAAAGGCCATCAAACAATCGTAAACCTCAGCTGGTACACGACGTCCTTCAAAGGTTAATACTGCCGTTCTTGACGTTTTTTTGCTTGTATTTAGATTTCAGTAGCAATAATCTAAGAAGAATATAGGTTCAAATGGATGTGTTAATTCTGCCTTTCACCAGAGGATATTGTTAATACTGCGAAAAACAAAGTACCCGGAAACTTGCCTACTCCTTATTTTAAATTTCTCTAAGTGAGAAACTTGACGACCTACGCCACTTCACTAGCAGATGGCGATGTTGTGAGGCTCTTCCGTGATGAGTATTTTTGCTCCACGCGTCGAATTGAAAAAAAGGGTGCATTCGTTCGACAAATTTTTTGGAATTGCGAAGTTCGACGTCATAGTTGCAGCCAAGATCTATCGCAAATAAAAATGCTAAACGCTGCAAAAGCCTTACTAGAGACCTTTCTTCAAGCCGGTGAAAGCTCTTAGATCAACAAAGTCAACGAATTTTGGCGGAGATAATGGCGTGGGAACAATTGTGTAGCTATCAATTCGGCCTAATGAAAAGATATCGTGTAGTGTTGCATCAGTTGCCTGAAGAGAGATTCAAATGATGGCATATTTCTGATATGTCGTGTTTGCCGTAGGCATCGCAAGCAAAGGTCATGTGATGTAAGTGATAGCATGACAACCGATCTGATAGAAGCCGCCGTTGGACAAATTTCCGTGTAAGTGTTTATGAGACTTTCCGGTGTTCATAGATATTAATAATAATATCGTCAGCATTACCACATATTGATATCTAATAAATCGAATTGCAGGAGGATTCGTTGGTTTTGGGAAAACGGATATTCATTGATAAATTATCAGTATCAAACCGTGCTTCGTAAAAGGATATTATTGAGTGCGGTTGCTTATTTCACATGGTGTTCTCCTCCATAGACGCTACTCGAGGCAACAAAAAGACTTCACACTGTGCAAGAAGCATCTGATTTGGATACTGCACTCAAATCTTCACAGCAATCGAGAAAGGGAATATTTCCGTCGAATCAGAGTTTTATAACAGCAATGTAAGTTTGGCAATTCATTTATAAAAATACCATATCGCAGTCACTATTCAAGAAAGTGAGGGAGGAGTGGATTCTCACGAACTCAAGCTAATGTACATATAGTTTCTTCTAGAGAGAACTTGTCATTTAGTTCACTTCACTATTTACGACTTTCAACGGCAACATTCCGTCCTCCTATCGATGGATGGCGGATGGGAAGAAGGAAGAAAAGACGAGATGCTTTAGCAAAAGTTTGAGAAATACTAGTGTGTTTTGAAATCAAACGAAATTCGGAATTGGGAGTGACAATTGTCTAAACAACATTAGTATTAATCAGCAGTATCCCTTCTAAAAGAACTGTATCACCTATTATCACTTGAATATCGACTCACTGATGTGAGTCACAGTTAAATTCAATCATTCTTGATTTTGAAAAATGAGCTCGGTCAGAAGAAGAATTTACTTCTCTGTATAAGTGATGAACTCTTCGGCGTCCGCCTATCCACCTCTTGTTGATGGCGAATCTAGTCGAGATTCCTCACACCATCATAAATGTTAAATGTATACGAAACCCATCATTCGAGGCTTCGTTCACGTATGCATCAAGATAACATTTTTTTGTTTATAAAAAATCTGATCTATATATGTCAGTACTAAAGCGGTAGAAGTTACTTTTCCTCCAGTTCACGAAATTCTACACATCTTATATTCAGTGTTGTTGTGACAAAGAAGCTTCAAGTAGCCTACATGGATCACCGTTTGAGCCAAATCTAACATTTTATGTATCTGGATGAGACAAAAAAGGCACCCGTAGGAAACGGCTTCAGTCAACCTTTTATAAGCTTCTTTTCAACTGCTGGCTTTCAATCGAGTACAACAGTCGAACGCAATACGTACAACTTTTAATGCAACATGTGTTGTACCGCTATAAAGCGACTATAAGTGATGCTAAAAACGAGTAAAGGAATAGCAGGGATTAAAACGCTAACAAATACTCTGTACCATCAATCCTTCCGTCATCATTTGATAGCCGATGAAATTGCACAATTTCTGTGGTAAAGAAGATGATTGCATGAGTTCTTTTTCGGTGTGCATGATTTTTCGCACAGCGTGCGAGTATAAATATATTGGCTAAACGGGTAGATTGCCGTGTGGTCACAAGGAAGAAATCCTAGATGAGGAACTTGTAACTTAATAAAATAATGCAATAGGCGCTGGTATCGTTGGCACGTGGCATTGAGAAGGAGAACGAGATCGGCGAAATGTACGTATGTTACTGGCATAACAAAACTTCGGAAACGGTTAGATCTGCTTCAATCAATAACTTATCGTTTTCTCAATTTCAATCACTGTTATCACTTTGGGTTACTCTCTGGACTGAAATTCAATAAAGGTGCAGTAAACTAATGCTTCTAAATCACCTTTGCACAAATAAGATTACGAATTGAGGAAATGTTTTTGTCTATTGTCACTTAATTGACCCCGCTTGACAGTGTTTTTTTTTTCTCTGTACAAATCTCAGTAACCCAGCATTCAATTCGTTTAATCGTCTACTTTTTGAACATCGTAGAATACTGATTGAGCGAGTCTACTTCAAATCTCGAGGACAGCCTGGCTGTGGCGTTCCGTGGAGCTTTGTTGTTGACCGTCTGAGAGGATTGGCACATGGAGCTGGCTCCACGTAAGCCACGTCGAGCATCACAGCCGCTCTGCCAGGGCGCTCCTTTTGAGAAGATAGCTTGGAAAGAAACTCAAGGAGATTTAAAACATTTCCAAAAGTCAGAAGGTACTGTGTTGACAGAAATACTTGCATATGCAGTGTAAAGGAATGAACACTATGGAAACCACGGTTAATCGTCTACTTTTTGAACATCGTAGAACACTGGTTGAGCCAGTCCTTGCGATTGTGCTAGCTTCTCTAATGTAAGTGATTACAGTAAATGATCGTAAGCAGTGTGCAAGAAATGTAAATTATTGCTAGAGTTTAGGTCGAAAATTGTTATCACTTGTCATTATTACAAAAACTGCAAGAGTTTCTCGCAGAGTTATAAATATTCTCTGTTGGTGCAGCATTATGCTGTCTTATAAGACAGAGACCTATTTCGTACCCATGAGAAGAGAAGGACCCAATCGATCTTTATCTAATGTTCATATACTCCCAGTTGAAAACAAGTTCAACTCATATCCATACTGCAAATAACACAAACAATTGATAAATTCTTGTCTTTAGCAATAACAAAGGTTTAAAGACATGCCATATTGCTTAATGTGATGCACGTTCAAACATCATTAATGAATATGACTAAAAATATCGTCAACAAAAAATGATATTGCACTGATTTTTCTACACCGGCTAGGAGGACATCTAGAAGTTGAGTCGTTGGTGGTGGAAACTAGTCTCTTCTAGTTCTACCATGGGCCAAACGACTAGTGCTTGCTGTGATCATATCAGCGCTCTGTTCTTGTTGGTTTACTCAACTAGGGTTCTTGACGATCTTGTAGATTGCGTTAGCATCCTTCTCAATGCAGCGGTATCTACGGTAGCCCACACTAATAGCGTTCTATGCAGCAAATTTTGTGCTATCCCTTTCGATCGAGTGCTTACCGGCAGATCTGCGAATTACAAAGGAAAAATTGCTTCAAGGACAGAAAAAATAAATTAGTAAAATTTGTGCAAATCGGAAGACATCTTCATCTCTTTGGAAGAACCAGTAAAGCACAAGCGATGCTTAATGAACTAAAAGATGTACATAAAGACCAACATGAATGAGGAAATAAATAGAAGAAGAGGAGCAGCATGGGCTCCATTCAGGCCTTTCAATGAAGTTATCGACCAAGTAGGGGATCCTTAACTCCGTGCTTACCTTTCTAAATTAACAGTTTTCCCAGCGCTTTGTTATGCAGTAGAGAGGTAGCATGATATCAAAACGACGCCGAGCAATCTGTACACCACGTGCTGGGGCTTTAGACTTGTTTTTTCAAATTTAGTCGGCACTCGCAGCATCTAGCGTTCTAACGCAGCTCAGATCTTCAAAACCTATCTCATCTTCGTAATCCGAAATTATTTGAATCGATAGAGAAACATGGATGGGTCGCTCATCTAATAAGAAGAACAGTGTAGTGAACTCCAAAAATGCGAACAATCTATTGCATGATCGAACAGATGATAGAATGATGTGTTTGTGTCCAACACTGACCATCTGTTTACGCAAATGGTAACGACTCTTAAAATTAGAAAACGGGTGCACCATTTCTATGCGCATTCCTAATGTTCACTCACGATAAGCGGTGTGATGGTCTTGGACTCCTTCAAGCAATAAAGATCGAGAAGCTTTGCGGAGTTATCCGATTTGCTGAGGGAGATAACTGATTGAGATAATATGAAAGGGCGTGGTAACGAACGAGTCGTAGTGCGCATGTGCCTTTGTGGTGTAGTGATAGCATGCGTCTCGTGTATGGACGGAACGCGGGTTCAACCCCCGTTCAAGGCCGCATTTTTGCTCACTACTCATTTCGCCTAGGTATAATAAGAGGGGTCTTGGTGAATTCTCCCTCAATCAATAAAGGACACGTGAATTCTTGCAAACCTATCCGATATGTTGAGAAAGAGAAATGACTAATAATGTATATGAAGCTCGCGAGAGAAGTAACTAAAAAAAGATCGAAAGACGACCCGTTCTGCCCGACTGACGAGTCTGTAAGGACGAATCACGTGGATGGGGCTGTACAAGAGCCCTTACCAGACCACATGACAAGTTGGCTCAACTAATAATGAAAGGATCTATTGAAATTTGAGCGTGGTCTTAGCAAAAACACTCAAAATAATATGATAATATGATATGTGTACTATATGCAGATTCGCATACTGATTTGAAATGGCTTCTGAACTTCCAACAAAACTCACATCTCTATTGAATGATTACTGAATAAACTGACGGTAACAATTCATTTTCAATGCAGTTACAATTGAAGGATTCCGAGTTTTTCCATTCAGATCATCACATGTCGTTATTAGAGCAATCTATTCTCAGCTGAGATTCAGCATAAACATCGTTTTCACCTGCTGAATGAAATAGTGGGGTAACGTGCCAAAGCTGATAGGCCTAATTCAAATACCACGAGCCAGAATTCAAGAAAAGTAGTCAATGATCGCAGAAGCACGCTATGAATAGATCTGAGAAGACTCACAGGTGAAATACTTCCATGTAAACCAGTAGGCAAAACGCAGGGGCACTAATCTCAGAATTTTCAGCAGGAAATTAACATTTAGAAGTTGCCTCCGAGCGACATTGAGACTGTCCAAGAGCATGCACTTGGGTGTCCCCTTGTTCCGTCTTCAGTTGGTCCACAACACCCATTCAGAGCATTTTGCTGCCCTTCCTAAAAAGCAATTAGTTGGGCCGTAAACAACCATTAACTAAGACTAGGCTAACGACAACACACAACTTCTCAATGTTGACAGTGCCAAATGTGAACGGTCTTCTCCATTCCTCAATATTTTATGTATTCTGATGTTGCAGAAGTCAGTGAAATCCCGATGGGAAATGAACAGATAGTGAAATAATCGGTGACATTGATTGTGTACTTCTAAAATCTATAAAATCTATTAGTTTTGAGACCAACGCATGCTACAGAGTATCCCCAAGTGATCACTGTGATTGAAAATGAGAAAACGATGAGTTATTCAGTAAAACGGATTTAACCGTTTTCGAAGTTTTGTTGTGCCAGTAACATACGTACATTTCGCCGATTTTGTTCTCCTTCTCAGTGCCCCACTCCCACGACACCAGCGCCTATTGCATTACTTCATTATATAACAAGTTCCTCAACTAGGATTTCTTTCTTGTGAACACACAGCGATATACCCGCTTAGCCAATATATTCATACTCGCATGCTGTCCAAAAATTTTTGCACACCGAGAAAGAACTCATGCAGTCATCGTCTTTAGCATTGGTATTGTGCAATTTTGTCTGCTATCAGATGATGATAGAAGAGTTGATAAAAAAGAGTATTTGTTAGCGTTCCAATCCCTACTACAGTTTCCTCGACTCGTTTTTAGCATCATTTATTCGCTATTATTTTTTATTATTATAGTCGCTTTATAGCGGTACATCAAATGTTGCAAAAAAGAACAGCTGTACGAATTGCATCCATAATTGGTGCTCGATTAAATAGCCAATACTTTTAAGAAAGCTCTTGAATGATTGACTGGAGCCGCTTCCAACAGGTGCCTTCTTTGTCTGGTCCAAATATATAAAATATCACATTTGGCTCTGCCGACGATCCATATAGGCCACTTGAAATTTCTTTGTCTTCAAAAACACTGAATATAAGCGGTGTATAATATCGTGAATTAGAGGAAAATTAACTTTCACCTCTTCAGTATTGACAAGTTTTATGTCAGATTTTTTATGAACAAAAAATATTATCTTGTTACATACGTGAACGATGACTCACATGATGGATTTAGCACACATTTAATCACATCTGCGTTGTTACGAGGGATTTCGAATAGATTTGCCATCAACAAGACGTGGAGAGGCGAACGCCACATACTTTATATTTCATACAGAAAAGGTAATCTTCGTTCTGACCGAGCTCGTTTTTCAAAACTTAAAAATAATTGAAATCTCACTGTGACCCTAATATCTTTTTCGTTGTTCCCACGCCATTGTCTTCGCCAACATTCGTTGGCATTGTTGATCTAAAAGATTTCACCGGCTTGAAGAAAGGTTTCTAGTGAGCCTGTCGCAGCGCCTGGCATTTTTGTTAGTGATTGCTCTTGACTGCAATTGTGATGTCGAACTTTGCAATTCCAAAAAAACTTGTCAGACGAATACACCCTTTTCTGTACACCCCAGTCCGACGTTTAGAACAAAAATACACATCACGGAGAAACCTCACTACATCGTCACCTTTTTCCGAAGTGTCAGTGAAGCAGAGAAAGCCGTCAAGTCACTGAAAGAATTTCAAAATAAGTGCTAGACAAGTTTCCGGGTACCGTCATACTCAAAACATTAACAATATTGTCTGGTGATAGGCAAAACAAACACACTCATTTCTATTGAGCTCTAAAAACAAGCAAAAAACTTGTGTTCAATTGTTGTTTTTTTTTTGAAAAAATGAGTAAAAAATTGCACTTCGTTTATGTAGTATACTAGAACGATCTAAAATAGGCGTCACAACAGTTTCCACAAAGGTCAGATGCCATTCAGCTGCAGAGCGCACTAGACTGAGAATTTCGGTATCCCCTGCTTGAGATGTTTGATCTCAACGAGAATGAGCATCCTGTAAGTTAGTGAGTACCGAGGTGGTGATGAGTAAGTTTAGATCCAGAACTGAGAGATAACTATATATAGATAGGCAAGTATATCGTTGTATTATCTTGTTTTGGTGAGATAGTCTGGAAGGAAAAATTTAGTTTTTTGAATATGTCAGGCAAGTCTTTTTTTTTGAAGAGTTTTAAGAATGTTGATGGACGAGGTGGTTAATGAGCTGCTAGTGATTATGCTGTAATGCTCACACGCTTTTTTTGTTGGAGCATGAAGGTTACTCTTATATGTACAAATCATGTTTGAACAGAAAAGAACACATTATTCGAGAAAAACAATTGCCAGAACATATATACGCTTTCGAACAATTTAGTTGTTGTACGAAAAAATTCGTTTTTCTCTTTATTTCATTTTCAAGGCAAACGATGATAATAGAAGATTCATCTCTCCGAATGTTCTCTGTTTGTGCTGTGGTTTATTTTTCCAATTCATTAAAACAAATGTACAGGAGGAAATCGTTTTTCCCCCCTCAGTGGGAGTCACCAACAAATAGAAATAGCCTGGAGATTGCGAAGGTGTAAATCTGAATCTCATTAACACTTCGCTAGGCGCACTACATTGTGAAATTCGGATTTTTGGCCAAAATGAGGATTTTCAAAGGTGTCTTTCTCCTTCTATCGCGGCCATATAATCGACTTTAGAAATACAATTCAAACCTATTATATGTTCGCTATGAAAGTGTTAAAAATTTTAAAGCCACCTCTCGATCCATTGAAACACCCACAAGGTTAATCAAGCATTATGGTCACGCTGATGGTTGTTCAAGCCGTGAATGTTTCGTTTTCAGCGAGCAGAACACCAACATTTGAAGTTAAAGCGAAATTCAGAGACAGTTATCATGCAATAACCTCTATCTTCAGTGGCATTCTTATTCATCCTCATGGGCAGTTTGGACAAACAGAATATGACACTCTCATAGTTGCGGCTTCTTCACGTGTGCACGCTGCAGTACCTCATGCGTTCATTTCGTTATCATCGAATCGTCACCCATTAACGATGCGCCTGTGTTAAGTTCGACTACGATGTGACGACCAATATTGACCTCTATTCGCATAGTCATTTTTGACACTGGTTGTGCATGATTTGCTATACAATACTGTTCTAGTAGCGCTAGAGTATTCGTGGTCTACATCGCAAACATTCACCATTAAATGTGAAATGGAAAGGTGTATTCAGCCTTTCAACTGAGCTCTTACCAAGAGGCGTGCAAAGCTATTGGCTGATCGCCATACCTCTTGAGGACAAACCCTAATCTACGAATTTTGTGTTAATGGCGTAGCGAAGCAAAACAAAATCGCGTGCGAATGCGAAGTATAGAATGCTGACTATATTGCAGTACTTTACTGTAGCGCATAGTCGATGATATTAAATATGCTAAAACTTTTTTTTCACCGTTGTAAATTTATGTCTCATCTAAATGTGTTCTACCACTTTTTTTAGCATTGGGCCTTTTCCTTTGGCCTGCATTTGATGAGCTTTTATAAAGGAAGAGGCTGTTTTATAGCGTTCGGCTTCTAGCGTGGCTTATTCTAAAATCGATCTCAGTTTAGTGTTCGCCGAGCACTCTATTGATGACTCCACTATCTCAGAGTTTACTGAAGTGAAAATTAGTGCTACAGCGTTTAAATTATTAGGTGTTTGAAATTTATAGGCAGCTGTTAGATTGATACTTCTACGAAACGTCGCGATAAATGCAATCAAATTATCTCATAATAGTTATTTGAGCCGACTTGTAGGTGGTATGTTAATGAGCTCTTGTATAGTCCGATACAACTGTTTCGACCTTGACAGTCCTGTCAGTCGGCAGATCCCTCTGTCTTTTAGCCAGTCCTCTCGGGGTGCTCCAGTCCCCGCAACAAGAGTAGGCGACGGTGAACGATTTACACTACACCGCTGTCAAATGAAAATCACTAGATCGGCCTGTTTACACTCGTTGTTCTTGGCTGGTAATCTCAAATATATGGTACCTTTCGTTTCGAGTGCTTTCTTAATCTTCATAAAGTGAATTAACAGAAATAGGATATTTGTAGTAGTTCCTTAAGATTTTCAGTTTCTGCTCCAAAGTTAGTGCAAAAGGTGATTCTTTAAAATTTATATTTATTTGTATGACATCCGTTTGTCGAACTTTTTCGACTTTCCAATATCATTTGGAGTCTCCAAA